CTTTCTTTCTTTCTTTCTTTCTTTCTTTCTTTCTTTCTTTCTTTCTTTCTTTCTTTCTTTCTTTCTTTCTCTCTTCTTTCTCTTTCTCTTTCTTTCTCTTTTTCTTTCTTTCTTTCTTTTCTTCTTCTTTCTTTCTTTAAGATTTATTTATTTGGGAGAGAAACAGAGCGAGCAGGGGGAGGGGGCAGAAGGAGAGAGACTCTCCACTGAGCGGGAAGCCTGATGCGGGGCTTGATCCCAGGACCCTGAGATCATGACCTGAGCCGAAATACGCGTCAGATGCTTAACCGACTGAGCCATCCAGGCACCCCCTGATTGCTTTTCTTTACAACAAACAGTGAACACTTAATAGGTGCTACCCTGTTTAACATACCTCATCCTCTCACACATATACTGAAAGGGAGAGCAAGGAGTTACATTTCTGGCTTGAGCAACTGTGTGGGGACGGTGCTGTGTGTTGGGATGTGGGGGACATGGGATAGCGAGCAGGTTTGGGGAGGACGCTGAGGTCGGTTTGGGTTGAGTAGGGTAGTAGTTGGAGGGGCCGGGGCAATATCCACACAGAAATGTCTAGGGAGAGGTTAGAGGTCAACTCTGAAACCCTGCCGGGAAGTCGGGGGCAGAGATGGCAACATGAGGGTTGACGGCATCTGGGTGGATGGTTGCCAGAAGCTAAAGGAGGAGATGAGGCCACCTGGGGAGAGGGTGTCCAGTGAGAAGGGAAGAACACCAGGACAGAGCTCTGAGGAGAGCCTCCCAGTGAAGGATAGAGGATGGAGGTGGTGGCAGGAAAGGAGACTGAGGAGGGGTGGCCAGAGGCGTGGGAGGGTGCGGGAGAACGTGCTGGGGTGCTGCCAGGGAGGAGGTGCAGGGCCAGAAGAGGCAAGAGAGGAGGCCAAAGAAGGGTCGCGGAGCATCCCGTGGGTTTAGTTCCTGTGGCCTTTACAAGAGTGGCCTCCGGTGTGGTGGAAGCACAAACCCAATAGCCAAGATGGCAGAATGAGTGGGCTGCAGCACAGCTTCCACCCCTCCCACATCGTGAGATGGGTTCAGACTGCAGAAATCAGCATTCTGAGATAGAATGAAGTAGAGTGAAAAAGAATGAAATAGAAGTTGTATGTGTGCATGTGAGAGAGAGAGAGAGAGAGAGAGAGGGAGGGCGGGGGCAGGAGGGAGACAGAGTTCTCTGCTGTGAAATATAAAATACATCAATCTTACTGTGGGTCCCAGTCAAAAGTGCTAAAAGCCCTGGTGGAGGATACGTGTCCATGAAGGTCAAATCCTAGAGGCCTGTGAATGCCAGACAGGTTTTGACCTGATTCAGACCCTGCAGGCCATTGGGAGCCATGGCAGGCTTGAGGGTAGAGGAAGCAACTCTGATTTAGCTATAGATGCTCATGACTTGGAGAAGGCAGGAGGACTATTTAGGAAGCTCTCACAGTAAATAGTGAGGAGAGCTCACTCACTGTTGCCTCCCAGGGCCAGCGGGATGAAGCTGAGGAGACAGATGATGGGAAAGAAAGTCCTTCCTTGTTGTAGACAGACATCCCTGGCCTGTGATGCCCTTTGGGAATTTGGAACAGGTAGGGAGCCCATAATCTTAACCTCCCATTGGGGTTTAAGAAGCTCTGCTCAGCCTCTCATTGGCCAGTGGATACGGGTGATGGCAAGGTGTGGGGACCAGGAGGACTCTGTGTGTGGCAATGAGCCTTGAGGCACTGAGTCTGTTGGCCATGGAAGTGAAGGAAGGGAGGAGTCCTTAGAAGACTTTGGTAACTGTCAGGGTGGAATAGGGGGCTCTGGGAGCTGTAAATGGGGTCACAAACTATAGTAGGGTCACAGCTTCATGAGCGATTAGGGGAAAGTGAGTTGGATTTTGAAAAGAATTCAAGGTCATCAAGTCATCCATCCATCCATCCATCCATCCATCCATCCATCCATCCATCCATCAACCTACCCAGGGAGCTGGACCCATGACTGTGGGGGATACGCAGGGGTTTGGCCAGGCCTTGCCTGGGGGATTCGGGAGCTGGAGCAGCAGGAGTGGTTGGGACAACCAGAGAAGGAAGGGTGGGGCTTGGTGTCCACCAACTAAGGGGTCAGGCCCTTCCTTCCCACTCCTGGAGCCTGTTCCACCTCCCCCCAAGCCCTCTTTTTCACATATCCCTACTCTAGAGGTTAGGAGCAAAGGTTTATAGCCAGACAACAGTTTTTATTGCTAACTGTCTGACCTTGGGCACCTCTCTGATCCCTCATCTGTGAGATGGGAGTAAAATCTACTTTGTAGAATGATGGTGATGCTAACATGAATGGCAGGTGTACGTGGAAAATGTGCTCTCAAGGGAGCTGCAAAGATGCTGAGGACGAAAAGCAGCAGGAATATGAGCCTTCCTTCCCCTGCAGACACCCCCTGTCCCTGGCCTCACCTGGGCTCTGCTCCCCTGACCTCTCGGCCCCTGTCTTTTTCTCTGTCTTCCATGTAGAAACACTATGAGTTGTTCTCTACCATAGATGACATAGTGCTGACCATCCTTATCTGTGAGGTTCTCCTCGGCTGGTTAAATGGCTTCTGGATTTTCTGGAAGGTGAGATCCTGGGCCCTCCCTGCTACTGCCCCAACTCCTCCTTAGGGACGGCACCCCACCCCTGTGCTTCTGGCCCAACAAGGTGAGAATGTGTCTGTGTGTGTGTGTATGTGGTGTGGAGAGAGAGACTACTTCTGAGATGTCTGTGATGCAGCAGAAAATAATTTGTCCTAGAAGTGCAGCCTCCCTGGGTTCCAGTCCCTGGGTTAGCCTTCCCCAGTTCTGAGATCTTGGGAAAACCTTAATTTCCTTACCTGAGAAATGGGTTTGAGAGTCTCCACCTTAATTTATAGGATTCAAGAGCAGAGGTCAGCAAACTTTCTGTAAAGGGCCGTGGGCCATACAGTGTCTGTTACAAACACTCACCTCTGCCGTGGAGCACAGAAGCACTGTAGACAATCCAGACAAACGGTGAGCATGGCCGTGCTCCCAGGAAGCTTTATTCACAGACACCGAAATTTGAACGTTATATGTCACGTATCACAAAATGTTCTTTTTGCCCCCTAACCATTTAAAAATATAAAAACCATTCTTAGCCTGAGGGTCTTACAAAAATAGAGGCTGCTGGCCAGATTTGACCCACAGCCTATAGCTTGCTGACCCCTGTTCGGGAAAGTGTCAGAGAGCTATCTGGGTGGGAACAGGTCTTTTTTTCTTTTTAAGATTTTATTTATTTACTTGACAGAGAGAGACACAGCAAGAGAGGGAACACAAACAGGGGGAGTGGGAGAGGGAGAAGCAGGCTTCCCGCTGAGCAGGGAGCCCCATGCGGGGCTCAATCCCAGGACCCACCCCCCCCATTACATGACCTGAGCCGAAGGCAGATGCTTAACGACTGAGTCACCCAGGCGCCCCAGGAACAGGTCTTAATGCTACATTAAATGAGGTGAAGACTCAAGCTTTGTTTCAATAGGACTTCTCCAGTCAAGTGATTTCTGAAGTCAAGGTATTTATTTTGCCTTTGGGCATGTTTGAGAAGAGGCTTTAAAAAACCTCTCAGGGGCCTCAATCAGTTGAGCATGCAACTCTTGATCTCAGGGTTGTGAATTCTAAGCCCTACGTTGGGTATAGAGATTACTTAAAAATAAAATCTTCAGGGGCACCTGGGTGGCTCAGTGGATTGAGTGTCTTGATTTGACTGAGCCAAAATCCTCTTGGTTTCGGCTCAATCGAGCCCCAGGTCAGCTCCGTGCTCAGCAGGAAGTTTGCTTGGAGATTCTCTCCCTCTGCTCCTTTCCTCATGCACTCTCTCTCTCTCAATTAAATAAATAAATCTTTTTAAAAAATTAAAAATAATAAAAATAAAATATTTTTAAAAACTATCAAGTATTTATACTTTCATAAAAATGAAGTATCATTTATTTATTTTTTTAAAAGATTTTATGTATTTATGTATTTATTTATTTGCAAGAGAGACCAGAGCAAGAGAGAGCATGAGTTGGGGGGGAGGGGAAAGGGAGAAGGAGGAGCAGGCTCCCTGCTGAGCAGGGAGCCCAATGTGGGGCTCGATCCCGGGACCCTGGGATCATGACCTGAGTGGAAGGCAGACACTTAACCAACTGAGCCACCCAGGCGTCCCGGAAGTATCATTTAAATACCATTACCAGGGGGTGCCTAGGTGGCTTAATCAGTTAAAAAAGTGACTTTGGCTCAGGTCATAGTCTCAGGGTCCTGGGATCAGCCCCACATCCAGGCTCCCCGCTCAGTGGGGAGTCTGCTTGTCCCTCTGTCCCTCCCCCCACTCCTGCTGTCTTTCAAGTAAATGAATAAAATCTTAAAAAAAAAAAATAAATACCATTACCATTACCATTACCATTACCAGGACAACCAATTAGAATTATAAGCTTTCCAGAGGTTTCACTCCATAGAACACAGAGTGTAGAACCCAGAACATTTCTGAAATCTGGATGTCTTAAAGACTGCTTTGTGCAAACAACATTTGCAAGGATGTTTATTAAGAGAAAATAGAATGGGCTGGTGCATACTTACATGTTTCCACACTCAAGAGGAGAGTAGGTACCATGCTTTTTGTGAACGTTTCAATGCACCACTTTTTCAGAACTAGCCCTAGGAAGCAGGCAGAAATCTGTTCCATAAGAGAAAACATTTCCTCCTTCATACCTTCTTGCAATTTCTTTTCAGCAGCAGTTAGGGGGGACTACATGTTCTTAACAATGATTTTTTATTTTTTTTATTCTTGTTTTTTTAGGTAAGCTCTACGCCCAGTGTGGGGCTTGAACTCATGACCCTGAGATCAAGAGTCCCACGCTCTACTGAGCCAGCCAGGTGCCCCAGGGGGCCTGCCCCAGGGTTTCATTAGCACAAGAGAATTGAAGCAAGGCTGAGAATCTTATGCACTAGCCAAGGTGGGTGCTCAGCTTAGGAATCAGCTGTGTGTTTGTGAGAGTCTCCACTGTGTGTCTCAGACTGCACTTGGCTGTTGACACGCATATGAGACAGCGAGTAAGCCTGGATGTTTTGTGGCATATTTGGGGGGCAGCAGGAGAAGTAACAGCAGTGGATGGCAGATGACTGGCGCTGCCCTGAGAGGAACATTGAGCCCCCATCCTTGGGCTGGTGGGAGGGCAGACCCAGGATGTCCCCACGGGCTGGGCCTGATACACCCCATTGGGGCTGGCCCACCCCCCCATCCCCCACCACCCCCAGGACGGCTGGAACATCCTCAACTTCCTTATCATCTTTATCTTGCTCCTGGGGTTCTTCATTAATGAACTCAATGTCAACGCTATCACCTATACCCTCAGGTGAGCTGGGAACTCTGGGGAAAAGAAGGGAACATGTCCAGACGGGGGGGGGGGGGGGGGGGGGGGGGGGGGGGGGGGGGGGGGCCCGCTCCCCCCGGGGGGGGGGGGGGGGGGGGGGGGGGGGGAAGACAGGGGGTGGGGATCATCTCTTACCCTCTGGGCAGGTCAGGGGGCAGTGGGGAGGAGGAGTCTGGGAGGGGCTGAGGGGCACGCCTGAGAGGCTGTGCTGCAGGGCGCTTCGTCTGGTGCATGTCTGCATGGCGGTGGAGCCTCTGGCCCGGATCATCCGTGTCATCCTGCAGTCGGTACCCGACATGGCCAATATCATGACCCTCATCCTTTTCTTCATGCTGGTCAGTGCCCTTCCCTACTCCCAGCTGCTCCCTTTCCCTGACCAGGGCCCCTGGGTCATTGGGGATGGGGGTGGGGTGTCTGAGAGGAGGAGAGGAGGAGAGGTCTCTGGGCCTGAGTCCCTGGGATTCCCTTGGTAGCGTCCATTTGCATGGCATCTGCATGTCCTGTCTCCAGGTCCTTGAGTAAAGTTCAGGCATCTTCTTTGGTCTCTCTGGCAGGTGTTTTCCGTGTTTGGGGTCACTCTGTTTGGTGCATTTGTGCCCATGCATTTCCAGAACATGCAGGTTGCCCTGTATACTCTCTTCATCTGCATCACCCAAGATGGCTGGGTGGACATCTATAATGACTTTCAGTGAGTGCCTGCGGGGTGTCTGTCCCCACCCCACCCCCCAGTGGGGCAAGGCAGTGGGAGTGGAGCTCCAGGGCTTGGGAGGAGGATGGCCCACCAGGAGGGGACTGCCTGGGGCTTCAAATCAGGGAAAAGGAGACCCCCTAGGACTGGCCTTGGTCTGCTTGAAGGCTTGTCCCCTTTGAAATTCCACCCATTAAAAGTCCTACCACAGACCTGTTCATGAAGATGTCCCGTCCCGCTAAACAGCTGGGTAGCGAGGAGGCCTCGAGCAAGAGAGCAGATGTGTGGTTTCAAGACAGCCTCCCAGCCCACATTTGAGCCCACCAAGCTGCCTGGACTCCTGGGAACTTAGAGTCTCATTTCACTCATTCATAGACCCGCTGCCCAAGGTCATTTTTGGCCACAGATGGCCACCAGGTTCTGTTCTTTACTTCTTTTCCATTACGTCTAAACCCTATTTGTTCTTTAAATTTTTTATTGTTATGTTAATCACCATACATTACATCATTAGTTTTTGATGTAGTGTTCCATGATTCATTGTTTGTGCATAACACCCAGTGCTCCACACAGAACGTGCCCTCTTTAATACCCATCACCGGGCTAACCCATCCCCCCACCCCCCTCCCCTCTAGAACCCTCAGTTTGTTTCTCAGAGTCCATTGTCTCTCGTGTAAACCCTATTTGTTTCCAGTCCACTCCGGGGAGTGGGTCCCCCTGACTGATTTCTTTTTATCTCTTGTGAGCGCAGAAGCACAGTTGGCAAAGGGCTTCTGCGGGCATTACCCAGTATGATGTAGGTGGTGGAAAAAATCACAGGGTGTGCAATAAAGATAGACTGGACACTGGGCTTTTGAGTATTTGCTCCACCACACTAGCCGTGCAACCTTGGGCAAGTTACTTCATCTCTTCTGAGCCTCAGCTTCTTCATCTGCCAATTGGGAATTATAATAATTAATTATGTCTGAATTGCTGTGAGGATCAATAAGAAAAGCTGTATAAATCTCTTAGCATAGAGCCTGGCACAGAATATATATACACACACACACACACATACACACACACACATACACGTGTGTGTGTGTGTGTGTGTAAAGAGAGAGAAAGGGAGAAAGACCTTATTACTTAGGAAAATATTTTATGGGAGATTCATAATAAGGTATTAAGAGTGGCTGGGCTTTTTTCCTGTATATCTTTCTTCTTCCTTCTGATCCTTCTATAATGAGCTTGAATTACTTTTGATAATAAGAAAAACATGAATCAAGAGTATAGCCAATAGATTAAACCTGATAATGCCAATGTACAAATCCCCACCGTGGAGGGCTGGCTTGAGGCCCATGCTCTGTTTCTGACAGGATAGCAGGTGCTCAGCCAAGAGCAGCTACTTTGACAGTCAGAGCAGGCATTAGATCTGCCCACCAGCAGTGAGGTAGCAGAAGTCCTAGGAGGTCTTGAGATAACGTCCCCATTTCATAGATGGGGCAGTTGAGACTCAAAGGGCCAGGGAGGTGATGGGGCTTCTGCCTGCCATCTCCAGGATGGAGACAAGAGAGTACGCAATGGAGATTGGGGGCGCCATCTACTTTGCCATCTTCATCACCATCGGTGCCTTCATTGGCATCAACCTGTTGGTCGTTGTGGTGACCACCAATCTGGAGCAAATGATAAAGGCAGGAGAGCAGGGGCAACTGCATCAGATAAACTTCAGTGAGGTGAGTGGGATGGGGAGGGCAGAAGGGAGGAGGGTGCACGCATGAGTGCTGACTTGAGCACATGCATGTGTGTGTGTGTGTGCACGTGCATGTACACGCTCGCATGCTCAAGGGCCTGAAGAAAGTCAAGTCTGACACCTGGGGCAGCATCCCCCACCTTGAGTGCCATCTGAGGGGTGTGGATTTCCTAGATGTGTGGTTTCTATGGCAACTCAAAACTGAGTGGCTGGGTGACCTTAGGGCAGGTGACCAATCTAAGCCTCGATGTCTTCTTCTGTAAAATGGGAATAATAATAGTACTTCCTTCATAGGACTATTATGAGAATTATATGGATAAATGAACAGTAGTTGGCACACATGTAGAATTCATTAAATGTTAGCTACAGTGCTATTCATTCAAGGGTAGGACTTCCAAAAAGCTGGTGGGGGTGGAGGGGGGAGTACTTCCCAAAGTGTTGCGGGTTGTGGGCTATGACTTGAGAGTAGGTAGGGCTTTAGAAGTTTGCTAGGTAGAAAAAAAAAAGAAGAAGTTTGCTAGGTAGGGTTTATCAGGAGTGAAATTGGGTGCTAAGTTTTGAAAAGGGGTGAGAATTTTCCAAGAGGTAGAGGAGGGGCTTATGCATTTGAGGTTGGGCTCCCACAGCAGAGGAGGGGGGCTAAGATTGGTTAGAGCTGAAATGCGGGGCATTAGAACCCTGGTGTCCTAAGAGACTCATCTTCCCCCAAGCCAAGCAGGAAGGACCTGGGGGAGGGGTGCCGGCTGAGCTGTCTGTCTCTTGTCTTCGCAGAGAGGCAAGCAGGACCTGGATGGAGGTAACGAGCTGCCCCTGGTGCACTGTGTGGTCGCCCGTTTGGAGATGTCCGGTGCCCCGCAGGAGCCGCTGTCGGGAGGCCACCTGTCTAACCTCTCAGAAAACACCTGTGACAACTTTTGTTTAGTGCTGGAGGCAATACAGGAGAACTTGATGCAGTACAAGAAGATCCGAGATGAGCTCAACACGTAGGGCGGGTACTGGGGGTACCCCGAGTCCCGTGAGTCCGGGCTGAGCAGAGCCTCAGATTCTTCTGGCTTCACACCCTCACCATTTTATAATGTGTACCCTGGGGCCCAGAGAGGTTTAAATGACTTGCGGGGCGGGGGGGTGGTCTGTGGGTAGAGGAGCTAGAATCCAGACCTTCTGGTTCCATCCATCTCACATGAGCATGCAGCTTGGCCTGGATCTCCATAGGAGCGAAGGGGGTGGGCGAAGCAGGGTGGATGCCTGGGAAGAGATGGGAGGGCAGACCCCCCTCTTCCGCCCCCCCCCCCCCCCCGCCCCAAGCTCCCTCAGCCCTCGGAAAGTACTCACCCGTCCGCCCCCAGGATAGTGGAGGAGGTCCGCTCCATCCGCTTCAACCAGGAGCAGGAGGAGGAGCTGATGCAGAAGCACTTGTCACTGAGCCTGTCGGTGGTGAGCGGGTCCTCCCTGGACATCCGCGACATGACTTGCCAGCAAGACTTGATCACAGTGCTCATCAACAGGGAAAAGGTGCGGGCAGCTTCCCTCTCCTACCCAATAAGTGCTCGCCCGCCCTGCCCCCTAGCCACCCCCGCCCAGCCCAGCCCAGCCCAGCCTCTGCCCCATTAGTCAAACTTTCTGTCTATTCCAAGATCTGATCCCCTGCCTGGACTCTCAGGCACCGCGCAGCCAGCAGCCACCTCTGATCCGTTAAGTTCCACCCTTTCCTCCCTGGAGAGGCTTTGCCCCCCACCCCCATCAGCCTCCTCCCACTGAGTCACTTAAGTCTCTTGACACCCTCAAACCTACCCCTTCTTAGGGTGGCTTGAACCAGCTCAGTTTCTGCCTGGTGGCAGATACCTAGGCGCACCGTGGGCAGAGGATCCCTGGGTTCCCGCTAGAGTGCATCAGAACAGTCTCCTCCCCAGGGAGGAAGCTTCTAGGGAGAAACAGGCACGCACCTTCATTACTTAGTTTCTTTCTCTGCTTCCCACACCACCTGACTGGGTTAGAATGACCTGGAGCCTCGTGAATGTCCACAGCCTGGGTTTCTAAGCTTGGAGAGGACACTAGGCAGCCAGAATCAGACAAGCCTGGTGGTTTCACTGCTGAAGCTAGCGGAGGGGAGTGAGGGGCGTTTGCCATGTGAAGGTGGGAGATTGACAAACCCCTTGGTTTGCAGGTTCAGGAATCCAACACAAACATACTCCTTAACAAACACAAGACCAGCCGCTGAGAGGCAGGATGGGAGCCAAGAGGCCTGAGCACACACACCCGCCTGCATCTTCCTGCATCTCTCCGTGACTTGGCACAGTCTGGCCTGAGCCCATCTTCTCCCTTACACTTAGGCAGATGCCTGGGGCTGTGAAGGAGGTGGCATCTCCAGGGCTTGTGTCTGAGCGTCAGGTCCAGAGGAATTCAGATGGACAAGGATGCTGGTTTAGAGAGGGAGCCCCGCAGCAAAGAATGAGTACAGAAGGGGGGTGCTAGCCAAGGCAGCCAGGATTTGTCCTAAGGATGGACTTCCCTGGCCCCCTGCTTTAGGCCAGAGCTAGTTGGGGCCCAAGTGCACCAGGAGGAGAAAGGTGAGGCCAGTGGGGCCAGGCATCTATGTATTGACAATAAAGTTTTGTGTTGGGATCAATATGTCTGACTGGTGGTTCTCCAAACTTGGGGCAATCTTGCCCCAGGGCTGATGGGCAAGACAGATCTTTCCCCTCAAAAGCCTCTTTGTCTGATGGGAGAGTTACTGACTGCCCTCTAGAGCTTTCCAGTCTAATGGGAGAGAGAATGTACCCTGAAAATTCCCGACGTAATGGTAGGGATGTAATCTCCCCTTAGTGTTCTAAATTTCTTTTGGCGGGGGAGGGGGTGGGCATCTGGTTCTCATGGTTGGGAGCCCCTGTCTGATGAAGGAGACAGCCCGAAGATAGAGAAGACTGGTCCCCATTCTGGGGGACCCTAGTCTGTTGAGGTCACCACTGACCAGTCATGCAGGTACAGGCAGTTCTATCCTGGGGCAATAGAGAATGACTGGCAAAGCATGGCTCCTGGCAGGCTTTCCAGAGGAGAGGAACACTGGAGCTTGCTGGAAGATCGTAGGAGGAGTTTGTGGGTCAGGTGAATGAGATCTGGTGGGGTACTTGGGACCTGTTGAGGTCTCCTTGGGACCTTCACACTAAAGACTATTGAGAGCCACGGCAAGTTCCTGAGCTGGGAATGCAAGAGTCTGAGAAAGCTGTGGCAGTCATAGGCATTAGGAAGAGCTGCCTTGGAGGACTGGCTTCTCATCCTTGGGTAAGTCATTGGGCCTCATTTTCCCCATCTGTGCAGTGGGGAGAGGATGAGATTGAGCTGCAGCTCTTAGCCCAAGGATTGGGAGACCAGTAAGATCACCCATGTCATTGAGACTCAGATTCCCTGATGTTGGGTTGGGGGGAAGGCTGGAAGGCCCAGAGTTCTGCCCAGCTGGTCAACAAAGGCTGACAGGGGCCTTGGGGATATTCACCAGTTGGAATGGGAGTCCCTAGAGGCCAACTCATTGCAGCTGATGGGAAACTTCACCCTCCATCCCCCTCTTGTCTGCATGGGTTCCAGCCCTATAAAGCCCGAGCCAGCCGGGAAGGGGTCTGGACCCCTGGGGACGGGGGTGATAGTGTACTCAGCAGGCAGATGAGACATGGTGCCAGTGCCAGCAGTGCCTCACTGTCTTGGAGCTGCTGTCTGTCCCCCTGTTTGAGCTCAGTGCTGTCCAAGCCCATCAACCTCAGGGCTATGGGCATCCGGTGACTTTTGCTGCTACTGCTATTTCTTATGGATGGAGCCCTCAGTCTCCCTGGTGAGCACCCACCTTATTCCCTTCCCATCTGTCCTTCTCTGAGGGCTCTCACAGACCAGAAGAGAGGGGAAGAGGGTGACAAAAAAAGAGACAGAAGGTAGGGTCCCCAAGAAGATCTTATAATGTGAGTACAGCCATCACCCGCCCCGACCCTAAATTGTCTGAATGGCTTGGGACACCAATGAATTTGGAGGCAGGAGCATGACAGGATAAACTCCAAGGGACTTCTGGCTTTGCTCGTCCATCCTCTTCCAGAATGCTAGCTTTGTCTACTCCTGCCACCTTGTCTGTCAGCCCAGTTGTCTCTCCCTTGCTGTCTATCCTTCCCGTCTGTGCCAGGTCAACAGCTTGGGGAGTTCCCTCTCAAGATGGCCCAGAACTGGGGGTCCAGGGCATTGGACCCCTGCTGCCCTCCCCTGCCGTACTCCAACGAAGAACAGCTACCACCTCCAATGCCTCACTGAGCCTGAGGTAGGAGCGCAGCCCTGGATCCTGAGCTCCTAGGACAGTATGGGGGAAGATATTGGGAGGTGGCAGGAAAATGTAGGTCTCATCACTCCCATGAATCCATAATTTTGCCAGAGAGACGTAACCTTGGCAAAGCACCCAGGAAGCAGATACCAATCTTGGTAAGAGGAGCAGAGGGGATAATCATTACCAGTAGCAGGTTCTACTTACTGAGCACCTACTATATGCTACGCACCATGCTAAGTGCTTTACAGGTGTTATCTCATTTAACCCTCATGACCATCAGTGAAGTGAGTACTATTATTATTCCTGTTATATAGCTGAGGAAACTGAGGCTCATAAACTTGAAGTGATTTGTCCCTTATCACAGCTGGGATTCTATCCCAGGTCTGACTTCAGAGGCCAGTCTACACTCTACTGCTTCTCAAAAAATCTGCTGTGGATGGGAAACCTCATTATCATAAAGTTGTCCATTCTTGCCAAATCTATAATTGTAGCACACTTCCAACCAAAATCCCAACAGGGATTTTGTGGAAGTTGATAAGCAGATTCTAAAATACAGGGAAGAACCAAAAGCCAACAATAGCTGAGATAATTTTGAAGAGCAAGATGGGAGATTCACTCTACCAGATACTGAGATTTACATTAAAGTAAGATAATATGATGTTGGTGTAGTGATAGACAAGCGAACCAAAGAAATGAAAGAGCATGGAAATTGGTCTGGATACATAAATGACAAATAGCATGACAAATCAATGAGGAAAGGATAGACTTTTCCATAAGGCAGCAGGGACAACTGGTTAACCACATGGGGGGAAAAAACAACCACCATAAAATCAGATCCAGTGGAAACATCCGTCCCTGCAAATAAAAACTTGAGACCACTGTGGCGTGACATCTGTTCATTACAGCCAGAATTTTTGTTGCAAATAGAACCACAGATCACTAGAGCTTAGAGGACTTCTACAATATTGAGCCCAAGCCCCCCACTGTTTTGAGGGGGACATGGAAGAACTAAGAGGGTTGGGTCTTCCTCAAGATTACACAGCAAGTCAGTAATAGAGTTGGGTCTAGAACCTAGGTCCTCCTACTCTTTCCATGCATTCTGGCCAGCTCTCCTGCCCTGTTGTGACCCCTTAGCTCTGCACAGGGCTAGAATAAAGAGGGGTGTGGAAGGGGCAGGTGCTGGATGGGGGCAGAATTGAAGACAAAGGTCAGTGCCTCTTCAGAGCTAGGTTGTGGGAAGGATGAACCTGCCACTTGGGTTGGGTCACCTCCAATTTTTGGAATTAGTCCTTTGACGATTGTGCTAAGGATACAATGACAAGAGTATCGGGTAAAGGACCTATTTCTGCCCACTGCCCAGGGGAAAGAGGAAGGTTTCCAAGAGACCCAGCTCAGCATAGCTGATTTGGGCCTTTCTCTCTAGAGAGAGTGGTTGGCTCAACAATGAAAATGAAGCTCTATTTTTGCAAGGCGGTGCAGTACAACAGGGAAGATATTGGGCTCTTGGGTCTAATGCACCTCATTTCAAATGCAATACCACCACTTCCTGGCTGTGTGACCTTGCACAAATATCTTTGCCTGTCTGAACCTCAGTTTCTTCATCTGACATAGAAATAATAATCATTACCTCAGGTAGGTTGTGAGGATTCAATGCAGCAATGCTTATGCTTTGGAGCAGCACCTTACTTGGACAAGGTGAAATTTGAATGATATCAAAAGTATCCTGGACTGCTATTGCATTAAATGAAGCACTTGGATTGCAATTAGGGATCACATTATACCAAAAAAAATGTATATCTTTAAATATGAGAACCAGGCATGCCTGGGTGGCTCAGTCGTTAAGCGTCTGCCTTCGGCTTAGGTCATGATCCCTGGGTCCTGGGATCGAGCCCCGCTTCGGGCTCCCTGCTCAGCGGGAAACCTGCTTCTCCCTCTCCCACTTGTGTTCCCTTTCTCGCTGTGTCTCTCTCTGTCAAATAAATTAATAAAATCTTTTAAAAAATTATTAGAATCATATTCAATGCAGTAGGAAACTCGCATCAAAAAAGGCATCCAGATACCAAAGACCAAATGCAATTGAAGATTTCCATCTTTTGCTCTGTCTCTAGAGGAGTCATTGAGCAGAAGGAGACATAGTTGCCAGCACTAGTGAAATTCATCAGTTAAGATGAATGAGGATCATGCATCAGTTAAGATCTATTAGCACAGAGCTGGCACATAAATGAATGTGAGCCAGCAATAATGTAGTTGATGTTGATATGATTTTTATCGACTCTTCCAAACTTGGTCAACTGAGAACATTTGAAAAGAACTCTGGATTGGTGGAGGGAACAGGTGTATTGGTTTCTTTTTGTTTGTTTGTTTGTTTACAGGCACTACTATTACAACCCAAGGGGGTGAGTCAAATACAGCAGACTCCACAAAAGTCTCTGTCCCTAAGGGGCCTATAGCGTGCTCATTGACAACCTTGGCTCTAACCAACAATGGGAGAGACAACGTCTCTGTGGTTCCACTTAAGCCCTCAGCAACAATCAGGAGGACAGCAATGTCAGCGTCCCAGAAGAGTACAACACCAGATACTCCTCTCACTTCACCACAAGCCAACAGCTCTGCTGTCCCACTGAGCAGAAAACCCCAATACTTGAGACTCAGGAGGAGAGATCCAAAAACACAGCCTTGTCTAGCATGGCCACTTCAGCTAAGCCCTAAAATAGAATCACAGGGCTCCAACCACAGCCCCATCAGCATCAAGCTCCATAATCAATGGATTGGAATCATCAGCGTCCACTGACTCTCAGATATCAGCCATGATGATCACAGTTCTAACAGCATCAAACATACCGGGTGATGACATCATATCAGTGAGGTCCATGACAGCCACTGTATCTGAGAAGTCAGCCACAACGATTTCCCAAATGACACTGAACAAGATCACTGATGTGAAAGAATCTCTACCCATGGGGCGCCTGGGTGGCTCAGATGGTTAAGCGTCTGCCTTCAGCTCAGGTCATGATCCCAGGGTCCTGGGATCGAGTCCTGCATCGGGCTCCCTGCTAGGCGGGGAGCCTGCTTCTCTCTCTGCCTCTGCCTCTCTCTCTCTCTCTCTCTCTCTGACTCTTATGAATAAATAAATAAAACATTAAAAAAAAAAAGAATCTCTACCCATGATAACCAGTGCAGTCGTCCACGCCACTTCACTAACCCTGACCATCCTCGGGATGACTGTTCCTGGAACAACCACGTCTGGGACTCAGCAAGGAGACACTACAGCTGCACCCCCAGCCCCAAGAATAGCCCTCATGAGGAACATCACAGCCCTGCCACACAGACAC